ATGTATATGTACAAGTGTGCATATGTGAGTGTGTGAATGTGATCGAGTATGTGTGTGTAGAGGTGTACACAATTTGCATACGTGGTAATGACTATGTATCAATATACATATTGAGCGGAATGATTCAATGAAAGGTATGATCTATACACTGGGGCCAAAGCAGTTGATCATCTAATTGTTATGCACATGCATACTGTTAGAAGGGACCATGCATACAAACACACATGACAAATCCACTCGGTTACCTTGTTGTACAAACTCGACCCGGGCGGGTCAATGAGAAAGATAAGACTATCGGGACACGCATCTACCACACTGCAACTGATGCCACCCATGGTGCCACCGGTGCCTACAGAAGAAATGGCCAGACATTCTGAGGTCTGTGGCAACTGTGCGGGGTCTATGTTTCACTAATATCACTTCGTAAGGATAATCACTGAGAGGTTTGGGTGCCTCACAAAGACGGTCCGATCCGTGTCGAATAACAGGTACTATACACGAGGACATCTAGCGCATACATATAGTTATGTCTTCGCTTGCATACTATCTATAAAGGTTAAGAGCTTAATCCGATACTACACAGCCGCACAGTACACATATTATCCCCCAGGTCCTCCACCTAACCCATAGATATAGTTATGTCCTCACTTGCATACTGAGCAAGGTTACAAGCTTCATTTGACAAGTACTAGATGACCCCGTATTTCGGGCACTATTGTTTGTCTCTACATTAAATCGCACTATACACACCCGAAGCACAGACGAAGGCGTCCAAATTGTACTGAGACTGGGCCACGGCTCTAACAATCTCGGGCCCTGTATTGTTGTAGTGCGCTCGATAGTTGGCCAGATTTTCGAACTGGTTGCTGAAGTAGCCTCGCGTCCCATCTTGCTTCTGTAAGAGTGTAGAGTGATATATATATATATTTGGTATGGGGGGTGTAGTGAAAGTGACGGGCAGACATATATATATATATATATATATATATGTATACTACTAATTGTGCGAGCTGTGGTGTGTAGTTTTATCGCCCATACATGCCCCCTAATAGTACTTCGGGTGTGTGTTTAATATTACTGTCATGGCGAGAGTGCGTGATTAAAGTCTATCACAACATCCACTTACATATCTATCACACATTGTTGAGCCATCCCAATGTACGGTGGTAGCTACGATCCACGAGGTAGCATAGCTTAAGCAACGCCCACAAACACTCGCAAACATTCTTCGTACATACAGCACTGTATAGTGTCTTCGTGTGTTTTTTTCATAAGTTCATGCACACGTCCATCTGCAAGTGCTTCTTCTTCAGAGTTGCGGAGGGGGCGATAGTCTAGCCATACCCCTACAGACAGCCCAGACATACCTCTGCTTCGTGGTCGTTCGCGGCCTTCCGTGCCAGATTGACATAGTGATTCTCATTGACTATCGAGCACGGTCGCACACGGACCACCTGTGCCGAAAACTGCTCCAGGGCGTCCACCTGAGATATTATAAGTGCAGGTATTCATGGGGATGTGCATGCAAATAAATAGTGCATTCGTGTAAATAGGCCAGCGGTGCCTTTCTTTATGTATAAAATTCAAATTAAAAAAATCTGTTCATGTAAACAGGCCAGCGGCGCCATTCTTTATATATATATATAATATTCAAGTAGATAGTTTAATCATGTAAATATGCCAGTGGGGCGTTTCTTTATATATATATAATATTCAATTAGATAGTTTATTCATGTAAATATGCCAGCGGGGCCTTTCTTTATATATATAATGTTCAAATAGATAGTCTATTCATGTAAATATGCCAGCGGGGCCTTTCTTTATATATATAATATTCAAATAGATAGTTTATTCATGTAAATATGCCAGCGGCGCCTTCTTTATATATATAATATTCAAATAGATAGTTTATTCATGTATATAGGCCGGCGGGGCCTTTCTTTATATATATAATATTCAAATAGATTGTTTATTCATGTAAATATGCCAGCGGCGCCTTTCTTTATATATATACTATTCAAATAGGTAGTTTATTCATGTAAATATGCCAGGGGAGCCTTCCTTCTTATATGGCGCTACCGGGTGCCAAACACTCCAGATACCACACCTCATTGATAGTAGAAATAGAAAACCCCATCAGAGCATGGTACAACACTCGTTACTACACTACCCGCACAGTACACACTCTCTCGAGCAACGAATCATGGCCCATGCATATACTACACTTGTAGCCCTCCGGACGGACGAGAATAGCTACACTGACACGGTACCTGTGTTTCCAGCCTTATGCCATCGATGTCCTGTCCGGCGTAGCACAAGGCGACCATGCAACGGCCGGGCTAAGCCAGAGGGCAGGCCCAACCAAGAAGGCTCGGTAGGACTAGCTATACTATACCATACTATACCATACACCCGATTCCCTAACTAAAGTATATTACACACCAGCGTGACTCTACCTACCTTCTCAAGCGCTGCATCATCGGGCATGTATATACAGCACTTGTAGCCCTTTGCCCGGGCGAGCATAGCCAGGCTAATGCCTGTGCTGCCAGAGGTGCCCTCATAGATGGTGTCACCAGGTGTCAGGTGGCCACTGGCCTCGGCCTCGGTGATGATCTGCAGGGCTACTCGGTCCTTGACACTACCACCGGGGTTGACATACTCACACTTGCCCTGTTGTGGTGAGGCGAGGGGTGGTGGTTGGTGTGCTTGTGCGGTTGTACTATAGGCCGGTGTGGTTGGTGTAGTGGAGTGTAGCTGAGTGTAATTGCGTGGTATGTTGAATTGAACTCTACTGTAGGTTGGCGTGTTGTATTCACCTGGGATGATTGTGTGTCTGCACTCCTTATATGGTCGTGATACTGGACAGTATTCCATGTGAAACCTACACAGTACGGTCTGTATTGAAACTCAGGCGTTAAAGTGCTATACCTCAGATTTTCCAATTTCCCAACAAAGTGTGCGGTGTTGGTCAGTGGTGTATTGAGTGACGCCGAGTTGTCCATTTGAGTCAAGTTGAGTTGAGTCTATTTGAGTTGAGATGTGATGTGTCTATTTGAGTTGAGTTGAGTTGAGTCTATTTCAGTTCAGTTGAGTCTATTTGAATCGAATTGTGTCTAGTTAAATTGCGTTGAGCTGTGTCTATTTCAGTTGTGCTGCAATGAGTCTATTTGAGTATAGTTGTGTCTATTTGAGTTGAGTTGAGTTTGTTTGAGTTGAGAGATGTTGTGTCAATTTAAGCTGAGTTTAGTTGTGTCTGAGGTGAGTGAGTTGTGTCCATTTGAGATTAGTTGCGTCTATTTATGTTGAGTTGAGTTATGTCCATTTGAGTTGAGCTGTAATGTGTCTTTTGAGTATAGTTGAGTCTATTTGAGTTGAGTCAAGTTGAGTCTACTTGAGATTAGTTGCATCTATTTATGTTGAGTTGAGTTATGCCCATTTGAGTTGAGTTGAGTTGTGTTCTGTCCATTTGAGTTGAGTTGAGGTGTACTATGAGTTGCGTTGCATCTTACGAGTATCTACAAAAGCGCTGTTAGTTCTATAGTGCACATACCAGAATTTTGCATCCCGTGGCAGCAGAGAGACTCTTGATCTCTACCAACGGTGTGTTCCCAATTAACCCCACCACACCCTCGCACACCCCCCCCGGCGCTTTGGTGCCATCACTGTTATTAGATAAGAGATTCCAAGTTGAGAATCGGCTTTCTACTTTTGTTCTGCAGAAATTCACATTGCAGTTATAATACAAGCACTTTTTCCCAACGCTGAAATTCACTGAAATTCGCTTTAATAATTGAACTAGATGTGAGGGTCGGTCGGTTGCTAAACCACGCGCTTCTTATTGGTGAATGTGCCGAAAGCACAAGTAAATGACAGATGGACACCACATTGGTCACGGAACGGTATACATGCAGCGAACAACTAAAAATGTCAGAACTCGCTCATATATGTACACAAGTGTACCTACTCGAACAGAAAATACAATGCGATCCACATTCAGAAATTGCATATGTTTGAATATATATACAGATAGAGGTGTAGCCATTTCAGCGCTCATATGTATATAAAAATACACATACACACACACATACATACATACATACACACACACACACACATATATATATATATATACATACATACATATATATATACATATATCATATACACCCACACCCAC